ATTTTACTTTCAGACCGGCTGTAGTCACACACCCACGCCCACATTAAGAACTGTGGGAGAAGCACTTTGTGGTGTAGTCACCATGCCACCTGATTCCACTTTTGGATCTGGTCAAACAGGTTTTGCACTGGAATGAGAGAAATGGAGCTCTGTCATACCACTTTTTTAAAATTATTGGTTTGGATGGGTGAACATTTGCATGTGGTGTTCTAACTGGGAGGAGGTTCTGTGGTACTGCTCACACAACTGCTTGTGGAGGAGGGACCCTTCTCACATAACACTGTACAGGAGTTGTCAGCAATATGTTGACCCTGGGCATCCAAAATTATAGAAAAATGGGGGAGGGGGACATGTGGCTCAGAAAGCCCTCTTGTACAATCTAGAGGGTGTGAGGGAGGGACAGTGTTGGAAAAATGGGGGAGGGGGACATGTGGCTCAATCTAGAGGGTGTAAGGGAGGGACAGTGTTTCTATGTTTAGAAGGGGAGGTATCTCTCTGGACCCCCCCCAATGTCCCATTGATGTCTTTAAAACATTTTAAAGATTAGGGAAGCTGACTAAAGGGTGCAAGGGGGATTATTGGTGTTCAATTAGGAAAAAAACAAAAACACCTAGCTTTATGCTCATTTCTGGAGCGGGTTATTTTTTATTAGGAATGAACAAAAACTTGGGCTGGGGGGGGAGGTAGCAGAAGACGTGGCCCTCCAGGGTCCAGGGATGAGAACATGCAGCCTCTAGATTCCTGGAGATTAATGTATTATCAAGTAAAAACCTTATTAGGGCTTTCAAAGTAAGTGAGATAATTAGGGATTTTACCTGTGCCACCCACCAGTCAATTTTCATCACCACGTAGGAATTCTAAGCTAGGTTTCCTGAACCCTCATCTGTCACTTTACCAGGCACTGTAATAATTGATACTTAGTGAGCTGAAGAAAATGAAGACATTAGACATCTACATTGTGGCACAATCCAGGAGCACATACTACAGTTGCTGGAATTTAAGAGGTTGTTAACCCCGACCCTGAATGGGAGATTGGTAAAAGTCTAGTAGCAACTTATAAATATAGCAGAAAATTAGTGTGTTCATTTATTCAAAAGGGTCTCAGAAACAGCAAGACCTGGGAATGCAGTGTTTTATATATATTACTGAGGTCCCAATTTAAATACTTGGTGGGCAAGAGTTCAGCTGGCTGTGCTGGTCAGGCGATTCTGGGCGTTCCAGTGGGCCCCGAAACTCACCGTTGAGCGATGCTTCCCTATGGCCGGCAGGCATTTTCGCGCCCTCCCCTTGCTTAGGGGAGGCGATTCTGGGCATTGTCAGAGATGGACACAACTTAAGTCATGCTGCATTGTTATGAAGCTGTCTGCGCAGCACCACAGCTGCCGCACAGACAGTCCCACTGCCTCTGAGCTGGCTGGCCCTCTCCCCATCTGTCACCTGCTGCTGGGGTCCTCCTCTTCCGGTGGCGCTCCAGTCCAGGCAGGAGGCTCAGGCTGCCCTTCCCTGCCCCCTCTGGCAGCCTGTCACTCCAACAAGGTGAGATGGGGATTCTCTCTGGGCAGCTGATGTGCAGTTCACTGCTGGAGGATGCTGGGTTGGGCAGCCTGAGCCTCTTGTCCCAGCTGGAGTGCCACTGGAGAATGAGGAACCCATCAGTGTGTGAGGAATGGTGAGTGGGCCAGCCGGCCTAGGGGCTGGAGGGACAGTCCGTGCAGTACCTGTGGGGCTACACTGACAGCTTTGTACGATGCAGAATGACTTAAGTCACACCCATCTCTTTGTAGACCTATAACCAAAACTATTAGAGCTAGACAAATGGAATTCTCCATTGGATACTAGCCAAATTCTCAACAAAGAAACAACAACAAAAACCGATAGTTATATGGTTGGCTGTGGGGAGGGGATGGAAACTGCAATCCAAAGAAATTATCTGCAGGGTTTCTGGGAGTTGTAGGTCTGGTGGCCTGAAGATTCTTCAGAATGATCAGAGCTAGAAACATGAAATTCTAATCACGTGCTTCCAGCTTAAAACAAACGGATGGGCTTTCAAAGTTGTTGTGTTCACTTAACATGTAAATAAAATACAATATCTCCACTGGTCATGCTGGCTGGGTGATTTTTCCCCCCCTGAGCCAATAACAGGAAATTTCCCACAGGTACTGCTTGTTTCCCAACTTAAATAACTGGAGAGGCTGTATGTCAACTCAACACTATCTCCCATGTTGGCTGGGGGATTGTGAGAGTTGCAATTCAAAAAAGCTTTATACCTCTCATGCAAGTACTGGGATGGAAGAAGAGAACAAAAAGCAAGCATGGAGGGAAAGGGTCACGGTGGGACAAGAAGGGAGATAAAGCATGTGTTTTGTTACAAGCTGAGCGAACACTAGGGTGGAGAAAGAGGGTGGGGGGAGAGAGAGCAGCACGAAAGAAAGGTGGAGGCTGAGGAAAAGGGGGAAAGGCCCTGGCACAAAGGGGTGGGACTTGTAGCTTTTTAACATGGGTGAAGCTGGGCACATATGCTTATTGTTTAGTCGTTAAAGTCGTGTCCACCTATTCGTGACCCCCCCTGGATCAGAGCAGGCCAGGCCATATATGCTAGTAATGAACAAATATATGTTGTCCAAAGGGGTACATTTAAATTCAAAAGTTCATTTGTGACAGATAAATGAGGGCTGTTGTAATGATATTAAAGTAAAATCTTTTTCCTTTATTGAACATGCCCAAATGTGACAGTCTTCTTTTTCCTAGGACAAATGAACCATTCCTCTAAGTACGCTGAATGTCACAAAGTTAAAAAGAAAAGTCTCCTGAAGGATGAAAGCCATTTCTTTGAGTGTGGGTATCCTGTCGAGTAATTACATTTAGTCCAACAGCCTTGACTTGCTGGCAGCCCATTTGCTGAAGGAATCCGCATACTCAAAATAGATTTGACAGATTTGAGAAATAAGGTTGACTTGGTTTACTAATAATCTCCAGAGAGGGAAAGGTTTTGTTTCATTTTTCAGTACACTTCAAGTTTTTGCATGCAACCAGTATTACAACTTTATTGGAATTGGTTTTATTTCCTTCAGTGGTGTGACAAAGCTACCTGTGATGCTGATATACTTGTGCCTTCACATGACTGGCCTGTCACAATCATGTTTCGGGTTGGCTCTATTAGTGCCTAAAATAGTTACTGCACTTAATTGTGTGACAGACACACTCTGATTTGTTGGTTCATCCTACATTTATAATAAATACTTTTATAAATACAAAAGTAATAAGGCAAAACAAATAGCAGCTATAAGCAACATGCCTATGGTCTGTTTTACATTCTTCATTGAAGGTTCTGTAGGCATTTGAAAATGGAAATATGCTCATTTTATACTTTTCTTTCTATCTTATGACCAAAATCTCCAGCTGCTCTTACTAGATATTAATTCTGGAAGTAGGAATATGCACTCAGTGGATGGTAGTCTGTGGACCTTGCATTAATGTACAGCATAAAGGAGAATAGTTTTTAAAGAATGAGTGTTATTTGATAATCTCTTTAATCCATCAATTTGGTTGCACTAGTTTGTCAGCAAGCATAGCTCTCTGGTTTTCAGAAACTGTTTCTTCACCATGGGTATTCCATACTGGTTGAAGTCAAAGAGGGCTACGGTTTTCTGAACTGTACTTCTAACACTGTTGATATGGTCAACAGACTTTATATTTATAGTTATATTTATCCACTATTTATTTTGGCAACAGCATCTATTTCCTGCGACAAGAAAAGTGTCTATTCTGGCCAGATGAAATTCTGATTCCTTGCCAATCTCTCTGGATCGTCATTCTCTAAAGAATTTGAGTCACTCATTCAGTTTCTTCTCTGTCACAATTTAATACCTCGCACCTCCAGCTGCTTTGGCCTGCCTCCCAGCTTTCTTCTTGGCCTTCTCAACGTGGTGGCGTTAGTCTTCCCCACAAGTCATGAGTGAAGTCAGCTGCATGCTGCGAGCCAAGATCACACCAATGGTCGATGAACATGATTTGCTTTCCAGACTGCCTTCTCATTGTACCGGGGGTCTGATTTTAACATTTTTGGCTGCATTTGCGGAAAAAAATATGTAGATTTTATGTCTTTCTTTTGTGGCACACTGCATTGGCAAGGACTACTTTTGTGTTCAGTTTCTGACTTTACATACCTCAGTTAGTTGCATTTTTCAGTTTGTTTAACATTGATAAATTGAAACTTTAACAATAAATACATTTGCTTTAGCAGTGGTAGCAGATATGCATACATTTCAACCTGAATATTAGTGTTACAATTAGTTTTTACAGTATCCGTCTAGAAAGATGGTTAAATATTTCCATCCCCATTTCTGATATGAAAAGGGGGTGTACTGTATTTAATATCAGGGTGGCAGTGTGGAGGCCAGTTGCTAAAACAAGAAATACTTAAAAACATTTATTTGCAGTGACTTATATTTTAGGCATTTGCACCACTTTTCTGGCTAATCATGGTTATGTAAACTGCTTATATAAGGTTCAGTATGTAGAGTAACAGCCTACACAATAAATGATATACTAAGTGGAGTTCCACCACAGGTGTTTTGGGCAAATCATGAGGCTTCGATCTCCTTAAATTGGCCCTAAGTTACCATTAAAGATAAAGTCAAGTCCCGTTTATGTCCCATTGCTGGGATTACATTCACTCTGAATGTAATTCTCATAGACCTTGGCCACAATTCACCAGCATGTCATCTCTCTGAAATAAATGGGACATAGTGCCATTCCACTGGTTTGCAAATTCAGATAAATTTGCTTTTGTTGTAGTTGTATTCAACTCATCATGTTGTGTTGAATTCTTTACTTTTTAAACATTATATCTATATTTACAAACTAAAATGTTGTTCTGAGTGTTGTAGAAGGAAGGTTAAGAAACAGTCTGTTGACAGCTACTAATAACTTAGTTACTAATTTTCTTCCAAACCCATTTTCCCCTCAAATGTGACCATGCCTTGTTACTTATGCTGTAGCTTACAGAAGTGACACACTTAATATCGGGGGGTCCAAACCTGGATATCTACCAGTGGAGATGGAGATCAGGTAAATACACACCTGCTCTTCCAAAGCAAAGACAAATGTCTTTTTGGTTCACTGCTAAGGGGAGGGAGCTAGAAGGAAGCCAGTCTCAGTCTGTACAGGTACTCCTTCTTAGGCCCACCATGGGCATGGAAGACTGTGTGGGCCATCAGGTATCATGCCACTTATTTGGAGAAGGCAGTTCCCCGCATCTGGACAAGTCTGTGGATGTTGGTTTGCGGCAGTGGCTTGGCTTAGATCCCTCCAAATACTGGCAGCACTGGCAATGCTTGTGGCCCCAACCCACAAGAGATTTCCATAGAGAGCCACAGAATGGCTATACAGATGTTATCTTAAGAGAGAGGGAAAGTAACAATAAGAAAGTGGCTCAAGAGAATTGAACAGGTGAGAATTCTGATAAGGACAAAAGGAATTTCTTTACATGTTTGTTTTTTCTTTCACAGACACTTAACAAGAACAATTTAATACCAGATGACAGGACCAACTTCTATCCTTTACAGCAAACAAATGTGTACACAACAACCTATTACCCTAGTACACTGAATAAATATGACTACAGGCCTGAGGCCTCCCCTGGAAGGACCTTTACTAACAGCTGATGATGGACAGATCCTCCAAGAACTCAATTACTTCCTATATGATTTGTATTTTTTAAATTGAGTTTATGGACCAAATATTGGCCCAATCTCTAGGTGTAAATAATATACGTTGGGCTTTTAATTTTTTTTTATTTCATCAGTTGTCTTACTTTTAAATAGCACATCTCCTTAAGTGGACCCACTGCTGATGGATAATGGCTAAGATTTCTACACGGTTCTCAACTGGAAAGAGCACTTACTGCTATGGAAATTTACCACTGGAGATGCTCCTTTGAGACTGATGCCAAGCCAGTCCAGGAAGCAAGTGGAATGTGCTATACTGTATTCGTGTGGAATGGTATGTGATTATCCAGCACTTCTTCAGAAGCTCAGTGAGCACGGAGCAGAATGCCAGCTGAGACACACCCTTCACATGGCTACAGGTTAACAGTACTGTGAATGTCATTCACAAAACAAGCCTTATGGAACACCATGCTCACCATTTTGGTTTCAAAGCTTTGGGGTTGATCATATCATGGAGAAATATATGCAACATTCAGTGGAAAAAGTTCTGTGAGAATTACAAAATAGAGATGAAGTGCTTCACATGTAAGAAGCACAATGAAACATTTCCAGTTGGGATTCTGAGGAAACATGGAACTCAGCTTCTGGATATATGAAAGATGATTGATCCCACTGGAACAAATATGAAGAGAGTGGAACAAGAGCCATGGAATATCCTGAGAGGAAGAAACTGTTCTTTTCCGACTTTGGTTCCGTAGTCTCTTAAAGAACTGCTAGATTGATGACCCTTGTCATTGTCGATACCACCAAGCTTTATGCTAATCGCTGATTTTATTTTTTATAATTTTTTATTCACTTGAACAAAAAGTTCAGTGTCTCTAAAGAATGTTGCCATAGCATAGTGTAACCCAGAGAGCCTGCTGCAGATTCCCTTAGTGTCTTCCAGCCAGTACTACTCATTGAAAAGTCAGTGTGCATCATTAATTGCCAGTGTTCTTCAGTATCTGAGCAAAAAAGAAAAGTAATTCTGCTACAACCAAGGTAAAATTGGGGTCTGTAGCATTTGGAACAATGCACTCCTGCTTTGAAATGTTATTTTGTGTATGTGTGTGACTGTATTAGACCAGTGCAAAAGCTATGGTGTCTTTGGCCAGATGATTGTCTAATATTAATGTCTAGCAGGAAGCACACCTGTGAGCCTTGCTTTAATGGACACCCACATCCAGTGTGTCTGGCAACCTAAGCAAAGTTGCCACTGTTGTTCAACATTCCTTGGTGTATCTGGTTTTTTTGGGGTTTTTTTTAAAAAAATCTGGTGCTAAGAGTTGAAGACTGCCACAATGAGGTCCATGTAGTAAGAGAGTGAGCCAGACCTTGCATGAGCTTGGGTTTTTATCTGTGATTGCAACTGTTGATTATATTGTCTAGGAGTCACGATCATGCCCATTGCTGCCCACCTCTGCCACCTTTAAAACACCACACTGAAGTGTAGGCTAGCACTTGGCACAGTGAAGCCATTGATGCAAGCAAGAAACTGGCAAGTGGTTCTGTCCATGACTGGCAATCTTTTGAATGGCGTGACGAGCCAGCGCTGTTGTCACCATCTCATACTACTTGATGGAACAAGTATGACAGTCTTAGGAGTGCAGACGCCAACCACCCTTTGCTAAGAAGCTGCTGCACATGGAGCTTGGGTTTTCTGTCAAAAGCACTGGGATAACGCAACAGCTGAGTTCCCAGATCTGTAAGAAATTGTTGGATTGAAGCCAGTATAAAACAGTGTGTTCCAGAACTGTAATTAATTTTGCAATAGTATGTGTTCAAAGGAATTAAACCTTTCATTCACTTTTCTTTTCTCCCATTCTGTGCTTTTAGGGAGTATCATGAAATAAGCCAGGTAGATTTTTCAACTGGATGAAAAATAGTTTCATTTATTCTACTCATAGATGTTATACAACATGAGTTTCTTTTTTTAGATATCAAAAACTATGATAGGATTGTGAATAGGGTTATTTTTAGTTAGGCTTTTTCAATTCATTCTTCCCAGGCATCTAAAAGCAAAGAAAGGCATCACTTTCAGAAATGTAACTGACCATTCTTACATGATCGGGCAGATGCCATTTGTACCCCTGATTTATAAGAAAGGTGAAAGAAGCAAACCCCTGGACTATTATCACTCAGTTAGTGCTTTTGTGAGAGTTGAATCCTGTAAGGATTATATTAATACAAAATAGAGGTGTCAATTCCTTATATTCTTCTTGATGGCACATTATTGATGCATGACACAATGATGCTTTTGTGTCTTTAAATAGTCAGGGTTTTTTGCTCCCAGCAACAGGCTACTGCTGTCCATAGCAGACTGGACTGTCCTTTAGTCCCCTTTAGGGATATTTTCTAGCTACAACTTCTTATCTACTGGGGTTTCTACCCATTATACACTGAGAGCCATTGCTTTCTTGGTTTTGCAGTGTTTATTATGCCAGCAGAGCTTTTTTACAAAGCCCTATTTCTACAGTTTGATGAGGAAACCATAATACTCTTGCTTGAGACAGCCATATGCCAGTGTCTTGGGATATAGTTGAGTGAGGGGTTATTTTTCATAAGAAAGAGAAGGAGAGTGGTCTCCTACACGGCATAGCAACCTGCTTCTGAAACTCAAGGAAATGCATAAACCAGTTTACAGGTTAAAAGGACAACTGCTGGAACAGTGGAGATGGTGACTCAATTCTTTGTGGTTGGAGCCATTGCAAATGAGACATTACAAATAATGTCTTCCTTTAAAAAAAGAGGTACAAGACTGTAGACAGAGGCTCCTTTGTTTATCTTCACCAACGTATTAGAGCCTTCTTTATTTGAATGACCTATGGCAACATCTCAAAGATTCAAGTGAGAATTCTTGAAAACTAGGGCTGTTATTTGTTTATTATTTGACAGTGTTACACTGAACTCAGTAATGGGCTGAAGGAAAATACAGCAAATGGTTTTGCAACAGAGGACTGAATAAGCGCAGCTCTGCTAGAGGTCTTATCTTTACTTAGCCAGCTTTGGAGCCTTCCCTCTCCCCAAGAAACTGAAAAGGTCTCTAGAGTGTGAATTTTCACATTTGGGTAATGTTGCCCATTAATAGCTTTTGATTTCACTATCAGAACAATGGTGTGTGTGTGTTTTTTAATTATGAATCATTATCTTGTTTCATTAGCTTTTCACTGCAGACTTTAGAGATTTGATAAGCACACTGTGGGTGCTATCACTTTAATCCAGCAATTCCTTACAGGCAGATATAGAACAGTCCCCCTCAGAATAGCTATTCACATAAACCACTCATTCAAATGGAAAATGGGGGTCAAGGGTTCTCTATATATTGTTGGACTGTTTCTCTTGTCAGCTGTAGCCAAGGAGAGACAGTAGTAATGGAGGATGGGATTTATAGTCCAACAGCTACACTTCCTCCATTCCCGGTGTAGACATCAGTATGCGTTTTTTAACATAGGTAGATGTTCTTCTGCTAACACTATTGAAACAGACAGCCGTATTTACAAGAGAGCACTGTATATATATTTTGGAATACGCACCACACTCTGGATTAGGGCAAGAGGCTCCACTGAGTCCAAGGCTAATGAGCTGCTTCCCACTTCTGTCGTTCTCCATAGAGATCAATAATGTTTTCTCTATGGCCTTGCAGTTTTCTTCAATGTTGTGATCACATCGCATGGTTAAGCAGCAAAGCTATGCCAGCCATAGAAGGCTTTGCTTCCTGTTTCTGCCAGAAAACAAAAAGCAAGGCTGCATCACTATGCTATATGGTTTGTTTAGCAAAGGAGGCAAAATATTTCCCACTTATATTGCCACGGCAGCAAACTAACCTTAGCTGCCTAAGTGGCATAGAAGCTGTATATCAAAAATACACACTAATTTATTGCTGAGAGATTCTTGAAAGCCTACAGTTTTTTAGTAACGTGTGCATTCTAACAGGGAAGACAGCAGTCTCTTATTTTGCAGAACAAATCCTCAGAGGAGGAGAGGTGATGCCATTCTCAAGACGGACTTTTAATTGTTTAAACATGAATTGTAGTGGCTCATCTATACTGCACCATGTAAGTTGTACATGTATACCTGCTGCCTTATTTTTTAGAGAATGGAATGGTTAGACAAAAGATGGAATAGGAACTAGGAATGATTCAAGCCCCTTTGAAGGTAAAATTTAGGACTGTAACCTTTTCTAGGGTTATAAAACCTAATGTTGTTAAAATGTTCATCCACAGATGAAATTAAATAATTTTTAGTCTTACCAAATGTGGGATTTTCTTATACATGCAGAATATAAATGTAAAGTTCATAAAGTTCTCATACTCAAACACTGTGTATGTGTATATAATGATATACACTTATAACACATACAAATGATATACGTGCACTGCTGAATGTCTAAAGATAAATTTAGAACAATAAAGGCAGCAGTGGGATTTGAGGATAGACGTCAAGGGAGAATTGAAAAGAGAAAGCAGAAAATTTAACACAAACTTGCTTTTTCCCAGATAAATGATTTTTTCATTGTTTAATGAAAATTGAGAAGTTGACTTTTGTAGCTAGGACTGTTCACCTTCCCCAATCCACAAAAATCCATTCCTGTTAAGAATGGCAAAGTAAACAATGTTTGTATTTGCTCATATTTTATGAATAAACAGCCCAAATTGACTTAGTTTGTTGGTTCCATTATTTTTAATTATCAATAGAGAAGTGTGTAATCAAACAACAGAAGAGTAAATAGGAATAAAAGAAGTTACTTTAATCAGGGACACGTAGCTATGTGAATCTGGCTTTTATATTTTAAGTCCTTCTTAAATTACCGTCTTGGGTTTGCTGGCATGACTTGAAGTCTCAAAATGTTCACCTCTTCCATAATAGAGGTCACAGCGATCAACCTC